ATCCTAAGTGGCACTCAAGGAAAGACGGTGGCATACAAAGGCACCAGGTAAGTAGAAGGGGCTTAAATTTAAAAAAAAAAAACAAAAACAAACAAAAACAAAAACAAACAAACATCAAGGAAAACACTACACCCTGTGATAACACAAAAGCCATGGTAGAGGAAAACAGTAGACAATAGTATCAATATAGCCTTGCACTGAAAAACAAAACCTAAACACATGAGCCCGTTATACCACTGCCATCCCTAAATTATTTGCTTAAATTTTTTGCCTGCATTTGAAACCACCAAGTTGAAACTGACAAAAAAAAAAAAAAAGCACCTTTGACTACAGAGCTACAGACTAGGATGACTGTTTGCGGCTTACCCGCAAAATCCCATGACAAAATTAAACCCTTTAGGAAGATAAGTCAAGCTATATTGAGTTATAAAGCTCCAACATGAAGTAAAAGTGCATTGAACATACAATACTCTCTCCAACCTGCTAAGAAACCACAAACAATTATAACCAGATGTGTGAGTGTAAGGATATGAATATTGTTTATACAGCTGTAGAAAATAAGAAACGCAAGGTGGCAACATCATCAATGAAAGTGTCTTAATTAAATGCAAGCTGCTAAAACACAGCAGGCCCTCCAGAGCAGCATTTCCTTCCTACAAATCTGGATTTAGTGACAAGAATGTTCCCTCATTTAAAGTGGTAAGTTGACAAAAGCACTATGTAAGAAACAAAGCCATCCTCCAGTGTAGCGATGCCACCTTTTTTGGCAACATCAAAATGATGGTGAGAGGAGGCTGTCTTGTTTTGCTAGAAAAAGGTCATATGATCCCCTGCCCACACTCGTTAGTAAGTTATGTTAGATTCCAAAGTATCAAAGTCTTTATTTGACATTTAGTAAGAGTCTATTTACTCTGTAATTTCTGTAAGATTGTGGAAAAGGCAAAAGCAAAGCAGTATGGAAGCAGTAAATAAAGTGCTTATCTTGTTCATGTAATTCCTGAACTTTTAAGGCCTTGTTGATTGTAGAATGTCTACAGGACAGTCTTTACCACAAGGAGATGAGCACACCTGGTTATTAATTTATGCACACCCAATTCTCTGTTCCTCCTACCATAAAAAGCTCTTTTTATCAGCCTTCAGTGAGACCAACAGATCAGCATTTCCGTTCAAAAACTAGGGAACAGGCAGGGACATAGGAGGGGGACACAATGAGGAAGCAGAGGAAAGAGTCAGCCAAAGTAGTAAAAAAAAGGAAATTGTATTAGTCCTCCAAGTTCTGAGAAACAAGGGTTCCTACAAAGATATTTCTGCAAAAAGCTCTATTTTTTTACAGAATCACATCTACCTATAAATACTATGCAAGTTTCCATATGCAGCTACAGCACAGTGGACCTTAAATATTTATACTATTTTAAAACTTACAAAAGTGATGGGAAAATGCACTTTAGGATAATTCCTAAACTTGAGGGGGGCTCTATAAGGGTGCAAAAGCAATTACAAAACACATCTTTGTTACCTACATAGAATGTAAGATAGATGTATGCTGATAAAGTGAAATTTCTTTATTGTGCTTGTGAAGGACAAGTTCTACATCCATCACTTTTCATTTCTGATATTCATGTACACCCAAGAACTGGAGTGTAAACTTAAAAAAAAAAAAAAAAAGTCTGAAAATGTCTTGTTTTTACAGCTCTTTCCTTTTGGTAATGGCAGCTTCAGTGCAAGGGACGCCCAAACTTCTGCATTTGGAATTCTGAATGATTTAAATGAGAGGACTTATGAGTTTTAGGAATAACCATGTGAAAGTTTTGATCTTCAAGAAAAAGGAATGACACCGGATAAATGCTTATCCATCTTGGGCATAAACTCAGTAATGTTTGTGAGAACACAGATGAAAATAGCAGACCTTTGGTATGAGCAGTTACAGAATTCCTTCTCTTCAGTGTTCAAAAACAACAGACAATACAAGATTTTGATTCTTAAATTTATTTTTAGCAGGATGTGTACTAATGGATGATGACATCATTAGAAGATAGGTCCATGTCCACCACCTGCAACAGAAGCTAGACAGATGTTAAAGAAAACAATTTAAGATTTAGAGATGACACTACTTACCCAGAGCAGACTTACGAAAGTCACCTACTAAGCAGTACAGTTAGCTTTTGATGCAGATATGATAGCTCATATTATTTATCTGTTGTCAAGACTTAATGCATACGTTACCTTGACTTTGATGGGAATCATGCACTTCTGTTTAGAAACAATGATTAGAGAATTTTTTTTGAAGTACTCATGGAAAGACTGGTTATTCAAAGTTACCTACCTGCAAATGTTTTTCAGAAGACAAAACATCTGCAAATTTAGGTCTAAAGCTCCCATCTAAAGTTTAAAGTTAACAAGAATTTGCTGGGAATTCAAATTCTAATACTGTTAAACCAGATCAACAGCAGGTAACATTTCTAGATTCCACTAAGTGTACAATCACTTGTTTCTACCATCATACCTGGAATTTTGACAAAGCAATAAGGTAGCATCTCAGCAATATCCCCACAGACATGTGATACTAATTCAGAAAGAAATTAAGATCTAACATGTTACAACCCAGAGACCATGTTATACTCAAAAAATGTCAATAGCCAGAAGTCTAACAAAAGAAACAAGCCTGCTTAGAACAAACTGATTTAGCCTGAAATTAAACTTGAGCAGCAAGAGTCCTATAAAGAGTCCTTGCTTCAAAAACAAATGCATCTGGCTACAGGTATTTGGTATTTACATCAGAAGACAGCTATTTCTTAAAAAGCGAACAGAAAGAAAACTAGAAACCAGAAAAACTAAGCAAGCTGGCCCTATAGACAGCACCATGAAGACATCCCGATCTTACCTTTCAAAACTTGCAAATGTTTATTAGCCTGCACTTTCCAAACCAAAAGGTACTACTGGTAGTGAGAAAAAAGTCACTTTGATCATCTTAACACAAGTTTAAAAGCTTGACTTTAAGGATCTTTTTCTTTACAAACTCTCGGCTCATAGCTCTTTATTAGTATCTTGGGCTGACACCATCTTGGCTGACAGTTCTTTACTAGTGACCTGCATTTGTACCACACTGATCAGCCAAAAAATAATCTTACAGTATACCTCAACATCCTAGGGCTTTATTTAAAATATGCTGCTTTCTCAGCCTGTTTCTCAGGCTCCTGCTTTTTGAAGAAAGACATCTGAAACCAGTCTGAAAGTGTGCTGTATTTGAATGAGATTCTTTAACAGTTTAAATAATTCAGGCAAGAAACCCAGTTTTAAGGACTGTAACAGCCTGGGAATAAGCAATTGCTTTATCTTACGTCTATGAACTCTTCAATCTAGTAATATTAGGAAATTAAACTGCTCTGTATTTGTTGAAAACAACCAGCAAGACTGGAATCTGTTCACAGCTGCACATTATTTGTGATTCCTGATAAACTGAGCTCTTTTGGTTTTACAGAAGTACAGATCTGTCTGAAGGACCAAGTCACTGCCTTTTAAGCAACCTGCTACGTCAGTGGTCTACTACACCTAAGCAGTGTCTAATTGGTGGTAATGATCTACAAAAAGGAGTGTCTCAAGACAATCAGTCCTATGGTACTGTGGGAACTTGTCCTTCAAACACATCACACACACAGTGAAGGCAGGGCTGGTGATTAAAAGGTTAAGGCTTCCTGGTTTTTAATCTTCCAGGTTCCACTTTGCAGTTGGATCAGTTGCTACTGTAATCAGCACTACCATGCACACCATCTACCTTAGGTAAAGCTGGTTGATGCTCTTCCCACAGGATAAACACAGTGAAGCTGATAGGAAAACCTTCATCAACTGCTTTTCTGTGAGGCACAGAGGAAGACAGAGCAGTCTAGGAATGACACAACTGATAGGAATGATCACTGCAAACAGCACTTTCCTGAACAAAGACACCACAAAATCTGAACTCAAGTTATGAAGTTATAAAAGGGCAAAGAAACTACAGGGTGAAGAAACTGTTCTTCACAGGCCTGTATGATATGAAACCTGAAGAACAATTAATTTGTGCACTATGTAAGGACTACATGCCTATGCTGCAGTTACAGGGCACTGAAACTGTTCAGTTTGCAACTGTTCGTCCCTTGCAAAAGGATGCAGCTTCAATTCTATTACAGTAAATACCCAAGTAAGTACTAGAATCTATGTCTCAAAGCTAAGGGATTTGGGAAGCAATGGACACTGAATTATGGACCTATTTAGGATACATGGGATATTCAACAGGAGGCTTTACAGTATTATGTGGTAGGTAGGAAAGGAAAACAGATGACTGGTAATAGTGAGGGACGTGGTAAATTAGAGGATCATTTGGTTACAATGAGCTGTTCACTCTGCATCCTGCTTTAATTAATAATTTGTCCTAATGGTGCTAGTGCTACAAATGCTGCTCACCAGTTCTGTTAAGATGCTGTAGAAACTAAAACTACATTTTACTGGATTTAATGGTTAAAAAAGCCAAAAATGGCTAAAACCAGTAATTAAATTCTTATCCTTTAAGTGACCTTACAAACCTAAACTACTAGAAAGATAATTCTATGCACAAAAAGCATATTATTAAACATTGTAATATAAAACTAAAACTTACAACAATGAACGAAAAGAACAAGAAGAAATTTACTCTATGAAGAATTAAGTTTGTATCATTCAGGATAAGACTTTCTATTTGCACTACTAAAAATTAAGTCTGTTCATATAATGAAGGCTGAATAGGCTAAAACCAGAAAGACAAACACTGAAGTGATTACAGTTGTAACATTACCTAATGTTGAGCTGGTTTAATAGATTTAGAATACTAGAACAACAACAAAAACTGTTTTTTAAAATGTGCTGGAAGCAAAGACCTAACAGCAGCAATTAAATATTTACCTTTAGAGAGAAAATTTGTTTAGGCAAACTAAAACCACGTGCAAGAACAAGCATTAGTGAAGAATGGACTAAAACAAAACATTACGCACTTCCAGCTTATGTTCTTTCTCTGCAAGGAATTCTTTTTGACATCGGAGATAGTCTGACAACATTCGAGTTAGCTGTTTTCTATCATCTATTTCAGCTGCCAACCTGCCATTGTAATCCGCCAGCAACATACATGCATCATCTACCATTTTGGAAAGCTGCTCTCCAGATTCCTTATCTAAAAAGCAAGCAGAGAAAAGCAAGTAAAGCATGATTTCATAATATATTGTTAAGTTCTCAGAACAGCATTTCAGTTACTGGATCCCCAACCCTCACCTGTTATTCTGTCTAACAGGGACACATCTTGGACCTCTATAGGCAAAGAAGCTATTCTCTGATGAACTGCTGCATCCCCAGAGGCAGCGTTTTCTAGTTCTTGTAATGCTCTAATGAGATCTGTGGTCTGAAAAAAGCATGCAAAATTAAGAACTAGTTTAAATAAACAGATCCTTGTACAAAACAGTATTTCACAGTAAGTTTATGGAATCAGTTTGATGGTAATTTCAAAGCATTTATGGTATCAGCATTATAGCAATATTTTATGCCCCTTCAGACTGAATACGAAACAAAGCTAAGCCATTAATTCTCAGAACAACACTGCGGTGTTCCTAAAGGTCACCTTCCTAAAATACATTTTTCATTTAAATTCTTGGTATAGGACTACTTATAAATCTTATTTTTGACTGCAGTGATTATTTTACAGTACCTTTCATTTTACTACACATTTTTGAAATTATTTTTCTTGTAGTTTTGCTTCACTATCACATCAGACTAGATCAGTGTACTTTTTTTGGAAGTAGGGCTGACGTTCATAGAAGCCCACATGTCTGTTACAGAGAAAATACTAAATTCCGATTATTTGAGGGCAGTCATTTCTTGTCATAATAAAAAGCCTTCTGAGACGGGGCAGTACCACAACAAAAAACGCACAAGAATTATAAAAAGACATAGCAATGCAAGGTAGACAAGAACTTATGATGGTTGGGAAGACTGCAACATTTAGAAATATTTTATTGATAAACCATTAACAATCTTATTCTAATACATGTGTTATTGGTTACCACCCTGGAAACCAAATGAGAACCTAAAATATTGTAGAAACTACTGCTGAAATCCTGATGTGGTCAAAGCTGGAGTTCATGAATTCTGCTTTAGTGTCAAAATGACTAAAGTTACAGCATGCTCAACTTCTTAGCTCCACTTGTAAAGTACTGTGAAAAAAAGTTTCAGGTGTAGTCACTCTTGCTCAGAAACAGTACCTCATTAAAGACAGAGACCATTCAAAAGTAAGAGTAACTGACAAATTCTATACCAAACCATATGCAAATACAGAATTCTATAAACATGCCTTTACCTGCGGAGGGTCAGTGGGAGAACTTCGAGGTGAACAGTTATTTTCATCAACTTTTATCTGTTCATATGTGCGCTTCCTCACCTTTCTGTCTCCATCTAAATGAAAACAAACAGAGAAGTCAGGGAAATAATATTTCAAACAAGAGACTGAACCTTCACACACACACAAAATACTTACACAAGGCTTGCCTAAGCTGTTCTAATACATCATTTTCATAAACAGACCTTTCTTCCCAGATAGAGAGCACTCTGCCAAGGTGTTTCTTACAACTCTCATCAGACTCACTGTTACAAGAAAAAAAGCAAAAATCAGCACTAGGTAAAAAGTACAGCACTTCCGTATTATTATCTTTCACAGAAGGACCTTGGCATACTTTATCTATATCAAAGTATCATCTCAGAAAACAACAAAACCGCAGTTCTGTATCAAGACTGTAGCATTCTTGTGCAATGAGATGAATGGCTGCTGGGGAAAGAACAAATCATGCAGCACTAGTGATAACAGACACCAAATTACTGTAGCATATAAACACAGACTGAAAGCAAGTCTTAATTTAATGCATAGCTAACAGTTTTCTAAGGCTAAAGAGACTGAACGCAGATGAATTCACTATGTAACTTTATCCAAGAGCATTAAGACTATCCAAGATCAAAAGAACACTGAATAAATTAAATTCACAAGACTTCAAGTACAGAAATAGCACACAAGGACTAGCTGGGTCAGAAGAGATGAACTGCGGACTTCTCAAAATCCTCTTCAAATACAGTATGATAAAGGACACTGCACATAGCCGTCTACTGTACCTTGAAACATGTTTAAAAGCCTCCACTATTACTGGAGCAAAGTCTTTTGTAAACTCTGGTCCTTTCCTTTTGCTGTTCTGTATTACATCATTGGCCAAGTACAGGAACGTCAGCTTCCTATTTGGTTTTGCTAATAAAGAGAGTAATAAACAAGAATTATTAGAAATATTGGTTCCTCCAACTAATACCTATTTATCTACATTTATACAAAACACAGAAAACAAATCAAATGTGTTTTTCCTTTTCTCATTACTGTACTGAAAAATGTGAGAAGACTTTGATGACCCACTGGCTTTTCCCTCTCTTTCCTGCTGTAACTCTTTGCTCAGGTTCTTCCTCCTCCATAATATGACACATAATACGCCCCATCTCCAAAAATAAAAACAGAAAGAAAACCTATCACATTTCAGAGTGTTCTTCAGCCCCAGATATTTTCAGGTGTCTTCCTAGGTCTGATTTGATTTGTCTGTTTGGTAGTCCTCATGGATTTCTTCCATGTACTTCAGCCTCCCTTTGAGCCTGCCTAAATTTCTTACACCCACGAATTCCTCTGACAAGGGGCTTCACAGATACACAGTCATTCATGTGAAGAGATCCTTTTAGTTTGAATTTCACTCAGTCTTGTTTAACCACCCCTCATTCTTGTATTTGAGCAAACTGATCAATCCCTAGTCAGCCTCTCTGTATCACTGTGACACCCTCCCTCTCTCACCTTCTATTCATTAAAACATTCATGTGCCTGCATCTGTAATATCAAGAAAACACCTTCAAAAATCACTTTCAGACTGCTGTGGTGTTCTCTCTTCTCCAACCATCTTAAGCATTTTACCCCATTCCTATGAACACGCAATAGATTACAAGCTTCTAATTCGCAAGTTGCATCTGAAAATCTATTCTGTGTTTTCTAAGTGTTCCTACTCAGGTATTTTCATTTACCATCACACTTCATCTAATCTTCATTAGTCCACAGGTTTCTCAGAGCTGCAATTCTTATTGTAACACTTCTAACCTTGTGTTAACATCAGAAAAACTTTCAATACCATTACCACCACACGGTTTCAGTATGTATGTTCTGACTTCAAAAAGGTTTCTCTTGAAAGACAAGATTTAAGATTTTCCTGCTCTCTTGAAGAAAACAGTACTGCAGTAAAGCAAATCTAGGATTTCTTAAAACTCATACTTAGATCCCAAGTTCTTAAAACCCATGCTTAGTTTTTTGTTAATTTCCATTCCAACCTCTCAAACATGCAGAGCCACCACCCTCACAGACAGAAAATTCAATGTTGATATGCTTCCATTCTAAGGAAATGTTTTAGAGAACAAATTCTGTACTATAAAAAGACTCCTCTGAAGGATTTCTCCTTGGAGTATTGAATTTTTCCTATCCTCTTAGACAAACATACCCAACAAGAGAGTTCCATATTAAGTGTGCGTGCAGGGGGCGGGGGGGAGAACCTGCATTAAAAGTAAAAATGTATCTCTCTCTTAGAATCAAGACAAACTAAAAAGTGACAAAAAATAATTAGTTTGGAAGTGCTGGGACAAGATGGATCTATTAAAAGTCTGCTGCAAAAATTCACTACATGCAAACACTCAGGAAATTAATCTGGTTGGATCAAAATCCGGCTAAACTAAAATGCAGATTTTATAAACTTACACTACTTAATTTTTTATTAATAACTGACAATATAGCAACACATCTAACAACATTTCAGGTAAATCATAGTTCTGATACATAGAAAGCTCTGGGTTATTCAAAGAAAATATCTTAGAAAACACGTATTGTTTTATGGGTGCACCAAAATTAACTCATGTTTACCAAAGCTGACGCTGCCTTCCATCCCCATTTCTTAAATGAGCCCAGAATTAGGACTATAAAACTAATTAAGCAGACTATTCCACATACTACATCCTCTGAACTGCATGTAGGATAGGTCTTTGGCCATCCATTTCACATACACACACACAAAAAAGTCATGTTTTAATCCTCACTGATGTAACTCATTTGTGACAGACCTCAACTTCCTTGTTTCCACCAAGTAACCAAATCAACTGAACTTGTAGCAACAGAAGATTTATGCAGTGCATGAAGTCAAATGATGTTGATTCTCACATAGCCTAGGATTTATCTATTCACTACAGTAAACAGATCTACACACCCTGTTTGGAAAAAGCACGCTAAAACCCAGGAAGTCACTTCCAAGCTTATTTCCTCTAGTACTACATTTTCAGCTTCATACTACAATTCGACAGAAACAAAGCTGCATTTAATGAAAAAAAGTCCTCAAAACACTATTAAGCTATCTGTGTCTTTGGTTAGAAATTCAAACAATATTCTACTCTTAAGTTCACAAAGAACATTGTGAAATAAAATGTAATTCCTCTTGCTGCAAGAATGCTCTGCACAAAATCCTATATCCAAAAACTGCGCCTACTCTCAAGAAGTGTTCCCTTTCACTTCACAAATCTTCAGGAGTTACACACTGGCATACTACCACTCTGCCTTATGCAGGAGACTCCAGTGGGATGTAATCTTCAGCAACTGAGGTTGTTCTGTTGCTACTACAACTGTGAATTAACTACTGAAGTCTGAAATACAAAATTAATTCCAGACCAGAGAGATCTATTCTGAAAAAAAAAATAAATTAAAAGAAAAAAAATCTGTTTAAATCATCTCACTTTCAGCCCTGGGTTTTAATACACCTCAAAACACCAAAATGGATCAAAGTTAGACTGTCTTAACACGTGTCAAGGCCATTAGCAAAAGCACTCTTAGTGTCAGAAGAAAAAAGATAAAAGGTAAGATCTTATGTTAAAGGAGGATCTGAAAGGCCCATACTGACAAAGTGTCAGAAGTAGCTAGCCCACAGTATTTCTGGTATACCAACAGTGTCCGCAAACACAAAACTGCTAAGAAAGCATCCATGCTGGACTGAGTGATCTTTTCAGAAGCTCTCTGCAGTGGTCACATAACTCCCCTTTTTTCTGCTAGATTTACCCTTTACTCACCAAAGCAGTTTCCTGCAGTGCTGGATTCTGAAATATTTTAACAGGTCAATGGTGCTGCCTGGGGCAGATTAAGCAGACTACTTTTAAACCATCCACAATGAGACTAATTGGGATTGGCACCTCGCAATTGAAACTAAGTCTGTCCCAAAAATGTATCTGACATATTTAAATGCCAATGAATACTCTGCAGGTATTCAAGGTATTTCACCTGCAACTATGATAATCAGGCATCTATGGTGGAGAGACTTAGCACTCTCAATATAAATTCTTATTTTTCGGCAATCTATACTTCTTAGGAACACACACTTGTTAGCCTGGCCTGGGTATTCCTAGTTCTCTACCAGTCCAGTATCGATGTCCTGACATTGTATGCTTGAGTCCATAATACTTAAGAGAACTCTTACACTGAAGAGTCACCACTTTAGTGTAAGAAACTAGCATTTTATCTTGGAAGGCAGTAAGCATGTTATTTTCACTGAGGTTAACTCTTGTTAATCAAAGCCAGCATAATCACTCATATTTGTCTCCTCCAGATTTACCTACTGGCATTGGAAATTGAGCTTCCATGAAGACTGCTAAAAACATGTTCATTAGTTTCATGCTGTTCTACACTTCTTCTGTAGAGCTAAGAGACATTTGCTTTCTTAGATGTACAAGAAGAAACTAGAGGGAAACGCACAGGCATACAGGATTTCACTTATATCCCACTACAAGTGTATAGACTATTGATCCATCTGAAAATGTTACATCAGGCTTTAACCTTCTACAGGCTGGCTCTGCTATGCCAACTGACCTTGAATGAAAATATCATTTAACAAGAGGTTCTGAGAAAAGGTGCATCAGTAAGTTAAAATTCCACAACAGTTATCAGCACTACACATTTTCTTTTTTACTAAAGTTCTCTGAGACGAATTCAAATAAAGACTTTGCTCAATTGCTTTTAAATTACATTAGTACAGATACATGCAGCAGGGGACATGAGTGTCAGCACTTCTCCAAAATCGCTGGGACAATTCCTGTGTCATCGCATGCTTCATACCTTTGCATAAGAAGTTACATGACATCTTTGTAAACATATGACAAGCTTTCAAGCTTTTTATTACAAGACTTAACTTTTTAAAGTCAAACAGCACTGAAACTTGAATGCAAGTTCACTTTGAGAGCTAACATGAGTTTTTATGCAAGCTGACAATGTGCAGTATCTTTGGTAACATGACTGAAAGTGTATCTGTAACAAGTCACTTGAGAAGCTGCCACTACAAAGGATGATTCAAGGATAATATAATCCCTAAAAAGCACCTTGTACAATGAGCGCTAATCTTAAAATTCATTAACCTTCTGTTATGAAAGAGTTAAACTAAGTGTTCAAGACTGCACAGTCACCTGATTCTCCTGGTGAATTTTACCAAGGTTTCAGAACTGCTGTGTTTTCTTTTCAAAGAGGGGAATGAGATTGCCCACAAAACACATGCTCAAGATTTGAGGGTCCACATATCTTGACTTTGTGTTTGGAGTCCAGTAGACAAAGGGAACACAGAAAACAGCCACTGCTGGGAAAGAGGACATCAACATCAAATTACCATAGGGATGCAAGAAAGCTGGTCACAAACCAAGGAAACCATGCTAACATAATTACTCTGCAGAAGCTTCCCACTGCACTTAATGTATCCTGAATTACCTGAACACATGAAACAAACCAATTCCTTTCACTGCCTGGCCAGTACAGTGCCAAGATGAATCTGAACTTACATAAAAAACAACATTTTTAGGATTGGAAAAAGACACTGCACTTAAGTATTCAGAACTAGAATGATGAAAGACGGGCAGGTACAGGTAAGATACCAGGACACGAGTGGTACAGCAATAAATGAATATAGATTTGTACACACTGCATTCTTTCAAAACTAATATTAAAGAGTCAGGGACGGATTACACAACCCAAATGTGGCTATCTGAAGAGAAAGACTCTTGTATTGCTAATCTATTGCTCCTGACTGTAGATAATTTTGTAAATCTTCACAAATACGTTTTTCTGACATGGCTGAACAACTCACGTTCACATGAAGTTTTGTCTACTGTTGGCTGATTTCCAGATCTTTCTGCATAGATGAGAAGATTAATGTAGATAATCAGGAAGGTACTCACAAGCACCTCCATCTTAGCTATCTTACTGTCCCCTTCAAGACCCTCTACTACCCAGTGAGATCAGCAAGCCATATTTTGTTTCTTTTAAATTAAACAAAATACATTTATTCTCTCAAGTGTACCACATTGGCCAATGACACTATACCACCATTCAGTAAAATAATCTTAAAACCACCAGTAGAGAAAGATTCCTTCTCTTGGCAGAAAAACTACACTACATAGTGCAGAAAATAACTTCTTTAAATTAGGAACTTGTTTCCCCCAAATCCACTTTATATCTGCAGGGTCATATATTTCCACCACTTTTGGCTGTGGTTCTGCTCCAAAGCAGTTGACCGAGTATCACAGTAATTCGGACATCCAACAACTTTCAAATCTGGTTTCAATGTTTCTAGGCCTTCTCAATTTGCCTACTAATACCCTTTATTTTCCAATTTTCAGCAGCACTGTGCAACTGCCACAACAGCTATGACAGGACCCAAACACTGGCATATATTACAGCAGCAGAAGTTGTAGAGAAAGAGCCATAAATAAGCAAAAATAGTTGCTGCTTATACCACCCAAACAAAAAAAAGTTCAAGCATCAAAAACTGAAACCGCAGGTAAACTGGCAGTGTCAAGTGCTAAAAATGTGTCCTTTTGTAGCAGCCCAGATGTACTTAAACAAGTTTATCTGTCTTAAAGGTGATATACAATGGCTCTGCTAACCTGGATAAAGTTAGCAGTCAAGACAGCAATCAGCGTGACATGGGTGGGGTGACAGAAGACAGCCAAAACAAGAGGTCAGGTGACTGGGGAAGGGGAGGGGGGCATTCAGCATCAGTTTCTAAGACTGACTAATCTGAGATGCCATGTCAGCCTCTGAGGAAACAGATACCAGAATACGAAATTAGGTTTAAAGATACAACACAACAACTAATAAAATATCACTAGGATGTAAATACCTAACAAGTGACAGAACCAGATCTGGAAAAGCTAGCAGAAAATGAGTTGACAAGATACTACAGACAACTCACGTGAGTTTGGAATAAAAAAATCCCACATTACCAAACTCAAACATTTGCTGCTTTTTTCCCCCCATTTAATCAGAACACATTTTAACCTAGTACAGCAAAGATCACATGGAACCTACTGAACAAGTGCTTACTATTCACCCTTCAAGGCTGATGACAGGAATTATGGAACTGAAATTTTTAATTTCAAAACATCACACACAAATAAGCAACAAACCTTTACAGTTGCAGAGTATCATGAAACTAGGGAGCAAGATGCATGCAAAAAAAACATACTTGATTTGCAAATAAGAAAAAATAAGTGTCAACAGCCTCCATCTCAGAACAGCCTCTTCAAGAGGGTTCCTAAGGGTTTTCTCAGCAGCCACTCAGTAGCTGCAGACTTACACAACCAAATTGGATGTGTAATGCCACTACTTAGTTTAAAAACAAAACCAAAACAAACACTAAACAAGCTGTAAGTCAATCCCTTTGTGGAGCTACAAAAAGAAATAGTTTTAACAGGCCCATCAGTTGCATTCAGGGAATGACTGATGTATTCACATTACAGTTAATTAATTAAATACTGAATAAGCTTAGGACTACTAAGTAATTAACTATTTAACTTTGAGTGCTACACTTCATTCATTTGAAATCTAGCTGAAGCAGGATCATTTTCCTCACTGCACACTTTTCAAGCCGTTACAAAATTCTCCCTAACCTCCACTTAAAAGGTCTCTGTAAAATAATCAGGTTATGTGACAACACTATCAAAAAAATTAATCCACACAAGCTACTTTGAAGCAATCATGAAGCTGCCATACCACAAATACCAAAGAAAAAAAGGCCCACTTTTCTAGGGTAAAAATCCAAATTGCATGAGATTCTCATGTTGGTAAGACATTTACTATAAATGAAGTACTGAAAGAGTGGCCTTCCCACCAAATTATTTATTCCCTAAATCAACTATGAAATTCAAAATACTGCAGACTCATGATCAGCATAAGCCAGCGCTAACACAGGCTGTGGCCTAAAGGGGTGATACTACTCTCACAGTCTCCTTTGTGCCAGTGCCAGCTTTCCATCAGGGAACTCAACTATTTCAAAACTAATTATTGGTTTAGCTGGATTTTCAGCAGCAGCAAAGCACGAGATACTGTCAGCAAAAAAACTATCAGAAATATTTTTAGCCGTATTTAACCAAGAGCAAACGGGAAAAGGAGCTGCTCTGCTGTCATTGTAGATCTCTGTTTATCTGTCAAAACAGGAGAAATCTTTGTTATTTCATTATAGTTTTCATTTAAGTTAAAGGTATTCTATTTTTTTTTCCTCATCATTTTACTCATCAATGAACGAAAGATCGATGAACTACAGAATCTATTCTCCACTAATCATAGTAGTATATAGTGAAAAAAACCTCACCATGTACACTAAAATGTGGGGTACCTGGAGTGACACTCGAGTATTTTTGCACAGATGCAGAACCAGGAATACTTAATAGCCCAGGCAGAGCACCAGCTCCGCCAGAGCCCCACCCTAGTGGTACCATTCATCCATAAGTTTTTAATTAGCACGTATTTGAGATCAGTCATTAAACACCATGTCTCTACACTTAGTCTCCTGATGCATATAATGTGCAACTCCTTATCATAACTTCATCAAACTAATGGCTGTATAAGAAGACATCCTTTCCTTAAAATATCTGTGACAGTTACTAGGAGTGTCTGTACAATCCAGAGTTATCAGTACTTTCACAATATAGTCAATTCTAGGATACATTATACTACCTTTCCTCCAATCTTTGACTATTTCCAAGAATGACCCTATGGATTCTTCATGCCAGTATTTTAAGAACTACATGTAAGAGTTAATGAAGTACTACTGAAAACAGATACATGCATACTCCTTCAGTAATCAGAGTTACATCAGCTGTCTTGATACAACTCGAGCAACACAGGAGTTCGGCAAGACAAATCCGATGCTACGTAACTGCTCCAAGTTATGACAAAGATGTGCAAGTTTTCCCATTCTCTGATTTTACAACTAAGTAAAAATTCACCAAGAGAATCAATGAAAGTTCAACTGTAGATAATCTGTAGATGAAGGTGTATGGAACTGATGATCTGTGGAGATCATGTGCCTTAACATGGTACCAGAACACTACCAACTAATCAAAGTTCACAGGAAGGTACTAAGATCTTATGTTGCCGAAGTTAAACACACATTTGAAAACTGCCTTTACACCTCTACTCCAACATGACATAAAGACAATGACTATTTTAAAAATAAGAGAACCTAAACCAAACATTCAGGAACAAAAGAGCTGTGACCCTAGAACTTGTTTTCATGAGTAGTGACAGACATCTTCAGAAAGGTTCATGCAAGCTGATCTGACACAAGGGATCTTTTATCAAAACTGAAAGCATCCAGAAAAAATGTAGTATCACACTGTATTGTGTTCCACTCAGTTGGTTATACACTGTTCCATCAGCCTGAAAGGGAGGAGTAGGCTGGAAGGAAGGTGTGGAGACAGGGGTGACAATAAAAAGAGTATAATGAACGGAAATAAAATGTAGAAAGGAAATGTTCAATTTTCAGTTCCAGGACACTACTGGCTAGCAACAGCAGCAGACAATCAGACTATGCCGATAATTCTGGGGTCCATATTCCCTAAACAGAGATAATTTTCCTCTCAGATAGGAGGGAAATCCTATTTCTACACTTTGGATGGTGGGCAAGACAGGAGCCTTAAATTTAACTCTATTTATGGCCTCATTGCCAGCATTCTGCTTTGTGATGTTTTATGCAAGTCACTTCACCACAGCATACTGGTTTTCCTTATCTTCAACATGCTGTCTGCTTAGACCACTAAATCTAACCTTTGGGGATTAGAGGTCACCTTATAATTCTGTACTGCAATGAGCAAAAAGTTAGTACCGGGCAAACGTAAGCTAACATTTCTAAAGCTCAGGTACTATTATCAGAGATGGACATTTAAAATACGTCCCATGTATCTTAACTATGCCAGCCTCAAATGAAACAGTAGAGGAACATACAGAAGAAAAAGTACTTCAAACAAGGCTTAAAAGCCCAGAAGAAAAGGTGCAGGACCTTAAAAGCTACTAACCTACTCCTACCAGAGGCAGACTATCACATGCTTTCCACAGACCCTTTAAGGTTGGCTTCCCAGAAGAGGTCACCAGAAAAATCTTACTTGAAAGCAGCAAAAGCTGGATGATGACTTCAACAAACTGAAGACAAAAAACAATTATAGCAGCTATGCTCATCCAAAGCTCTTGAGCTACATCCTAAAAACAGGCTTAAAAGTGGAAGACAGACACTGAAAGCTGAGAAAAAGCAAAGCATCCCCATGAGTTCTTAAGCAGATCATTATCCTTGCCTCTCAATGCCACCTTCAAACACGTAGCCTATTTTTCAAATATTTAATTTCTCCAATTAGTCAAACAGCACAACAGGAAAATTATGCTAATATTACAGTTAAGGACTGACCATTAATATTATAGATTATTATGAACCGATATTGTGCATGTTAATTAAGACAAGCAACTAAAACTCTGGCTGTGGGCTGATTAGTTTAAGACACCTTTCCGATATCGTTCAGAACATTAAACATTCAAGTTGTTTCTTTAGAAGGCCCAGATACATGAAATGTTTCAGATGCAGACAGGAGAGCCATTAATTTGTTCTTGGATCAAGAAAGCAAGGGTGCATCAAACTTTTAGTGAAAATACATTTATTTTGTAAGATGTATATGCCACCAAATACGTATTTCTTTAAGCAACAGAAAAAAAGAATTTAACTCAGGCTTGCAAGTTCAAAGGATAACATTTCACACAAAAAGCATATTTTCAATAAAAACATAGTGGCCATGTGAAAACCTATAGAGTTTATAGGAACATGTTTCCATACTATACTGTAAAGTTTAATATTACTTCATACTCAAGATTTATTTTAAGGATGGTTCAATCCATTTGCTATGAAGTTATGCCCCCTAACCAA